CGTTTCGATCGATATCGCGCATTTTTGCTCGCTTACCGCTTTTAAAGGCCGGGCAAAGGGACCTCGCGCGACAAATTGAGCTTACGCGCGTCAGGATTCAAGACGCGATCCCTCGGGCATTATGCATTCGATGCTTTTTCGTGAATACCATGCGCCGCACTGGTCGACATTTCTTTCACGTGGCATTCCGCGGCGAGGAATTAAAAGCTGCCTCGATAGAGATATTACCGAGCTGAGGTCGTTCGGCGGATTTACTGTAGCGATTATCCCAATTAACCGCGCGCCCTTGCAGCCTCCTCTCGGGCTTCGACTACAAGCTGAAGTGCCACCTGCGAATCAGCTACCGCGACGCGGTTTTTGAGCCGCGTTACATTCAAGTAAGACGTTAAGTGCATCCCATACGTTTCCAGAGAGCGTTACGACCGTCTCGCAAATTCCCATTAGCGGACTTACCTCTCATCAACGTCGTCGTCGTCGTCGGTGTTAAACGCCAGGAGGTTTTTCTCTACGGTCAGCCGCCGCTCTGTTGAATTCGGCAAGATTCCAAACGAAGCTCTTCATTGTCAATATTACGTTCACGACTGAAAGGCATTCTGTCAGAAAGAGATTTGCGTGAGTCTGCGACGAGAAATAAAATCTTGCATTTAAATCTTCCGTAAATTAGCACTTTTTGTTACACGATATTTTTATATTATAGTTTTACATGCATCTGAATAAAAATCCATCATTTAAATCATATTGCACACAAATATTATTCACGATTTCTAATGCTATTATATTTCCTTTAAATCTTAAACTTGATGTATCATTTTTTCGAACACTATGTAATCGTGCAATATATTTACATAGGTTGCATTTATTCTTCCGAAAAAATTGTGTTGTTTTATCTCCCATTTATTCGCAAGTCAAGCATTAAAATACTTCATCTAGATTTTCTGATGAACACAGCACATACAAGATCTCGTATATTTTAGTCCGTTCACAAATACCTATTAGGACTCATTCCGGCTAGCCTTGTATCGGCGTCATCCTTTTGGACGTGTTAAGCGTCGGCCGGCTTTTTCTCTCGATCGCTCGCCACGCCGTCGAATTCGGCAGATTCCAGACTCTGGCTTCTGCCTATTGTCACCGTTCGTCCACATTAGCCCGTGCAGCGTCGGCGCGGGAGGGACCGAGGAGATTAATTAGGGACGATGTTTTAGCGGCAAAAATTGGTATGAGGTGGGAGGGGGACCAGGCAAGAAGCGCGGCAACATCAGCAGCCGCCTTAAGTCGCGCTAACTAACTCGGCAACACCACGCGACGATCGAATGGACCTCATCGCCCCCTGCCTGCAAGAACGTGCTACAAATTAAGCCCGGATCGGCAGAAACCATCTCGAAAATTTAGCCGTCGGCTGTTGCTCCCTATACTTCATCGTCTGTACGCTCGGAACCAGGGACGGATGGTACAACTTTCCGTAGTTCGAATTCAGTTATTTCTCCAGTAGTATCAAGAAAAACGTATACCGTTTCTTTTTCTATACTACATAAAAACAGATACATAAATATATATATATCACACATTAAAAACTACGTAAACACTACGTAAATAAACATATTTAGACTTCTTAATTTTTTTTTTATATGATACCGATGCTTATAATTGATCTATTTAATTGCTCTTAATGTCACTTTGCTCTGGCTTCTGCCTATTGTCACCGTTCGTCCACATTAGCCCGTGCAGCGTCGGCGCGGGAGGGACCGAGGAGATTAATTAGGGACGATGTTTTAGCGGCAAAAATTGGTATGAGGTGGGAGGGGGACCAGGCAAGAAGCGCGGCAACATCAGCAGCCGCCTTAAGTCGCGCTAACTAACTCGGCAACACCACGCGACGATCGAATGGACCTCATCGCCCCCTGCCTGCAAGAACGTGCTACAAATTAAGCCCGGATCGGCAGAAACCATCTCGAAAATTTAGCCGTCGGCTGTTGCTCCCTATACTTCATCGTCTGTACGCTCGGAACCAGGGACGGATGGTACAACTTTCCGTAGTTCGAATTCAGTTATTTCTCCAGTAGTATCAAGAAAAATGTATACCGTTTCTTTTTCTATACTACATAAAAACAGATACATAAATATATATATCACACATTAAAAACTACGTAAACACTACGTAAATAAACATATTTAGACCTCAATTTTTTTTTATATGATACCGATGCTTATAATTGATCTATTTAATTGCTCTTAATGTCACTTTGATCATATATTTGCTATTCATATTGAAGCAAATCTAATATAGATAACGCAGTAAATTAATGGCTATTCTTATAAATAAATATAGTGATGTATTAGTGTTAGTAGTTTGGCGAGAGGCGAAGATATATTTCACGATGACAACAGGCGATCACCGTATAAATATCACGGCAATCGTCCTATCTCCTGAAATAATTGATTTATTTAACACGCAACGAAAAACCGCATCGCGAGAAAGCACGAGGTCATTGTCCTCGCGATCGGAAATGTTTGCATCTCGCAAAGAGCGATATCGAACAACTTTGAATTCGAGACGACAAGGATTGAAATGCGGATACGACTCTGCCATTGTTTGAACAAATCTCTCCTTTGGCAACAGCGATGACGATTGTCGTGTTATTTACGGTGGTCGCTTGTCGTCATCGCGTCATTTATCCTTATTCATTGTGTGTATTTCGTTGGTAATGTTTTACGTGGCCAACTCTCCTATCCTCACTATTCCGCACGTAGAACTGCCATTCCTACCGTCTTTTCGTCGCGAATTTCTGTAATCTGTTAATTTACAGTTATTTCTCCGTTTACATTTCCATCTACCATCGGCCGCCGCCGCTGCTTCTATTTTCACGACAGACGAATTATTGGCATCCTCGCGATAGTTGCGAGAATAGCCGCTGAACGTCTGCGTTTTCTGTCTGTAGAAGTTTGCTATTATTTAAAGTTGAACGAAGTTATTTTCTTTCTAAGAAAGAACGCGCGCCGACAGCTCGTGTGCGACTAGATTATAGCAAAGAATAACTAATTATCTTCTTGCGGCTTTACAAGCTTTTGCCATTATTCAAATATGAAAGAAACCATTTTTCTTTTGGAAAGAGAGACTTAACTTATTAAAATTAGTATGTAATCGATTATTCCATCTTATGAATTATCCTGTCCTCGTCAGTTTTTAAAAGTCAATATAAACACAGCAGACTATACGGAATGCGACTGTGAATTAAAATAGATTGTAAAATATATTACGCTACTGGGTACAAGATTCCGGCGCGCTTGCTATTCATTTAGCAATAACCGCGGCTACTGTAATTTTTCTTTCACCGGTCGATCGGTTGCGAAAGAAACGACGGCCTTCCTATCAG